GCACTGCTGAGGAGTGGCATAATATGATGAAAGAACTGTCCAGTGCTGTCCGGTAGCCTTCAAGAGACGAAAGCATACATACAGCGATAGAATATGCATGATTCTGTTACCATGCTTAATATTTATCAGAAATTGCCCGTTTTATCAAATGCCTGTTGAGTGTACCCATGGAGACATTGATTATCTTCTCCTAAGTTGTCGATTGCAGGATTTCTTTGTGAGAAGGGAATAGATATGTAGAAGAAACATGTTAGGGACTCAGAAGAAGGAGCTTTGGTCAAAGTTCTCTTCGTGTAATAGTAAAAGAAGCGAAAAGTGTTACTGTTTTGATTCAAACGATCCATTTGTTGTACTGTGTGAATATGTGAGCATAAATAGTAGCCAATTGGGATTGAGTAAACTCTATAGTCATTGACCCCACTCAATATCAGGAAAGATTTTTATCAGTCCATGATGCATACCAACTAAAGAGGTGATTCCTGAAGTTCCAGTGAGATGACATGACCGACGGGGTAAATCTGTTGACTATGAGGACAAATACTTAGTGATAACATTCGTTGGTGGTCGCGATATGTTATGACCATTGGATTTCGTCCCAATGGCTCAATGACGACGTGCTGGCCACAGAATCTGAAGGTCCCGGGCTCGACCCCTAGGGTATGGGGTCATGGGTGTGCACTGCTGTGGAGTTCCATACTAGGACGAAACAGCTATCCAGTGTTTACAGGTTTCCAATTTTCCTCCAACTGATATCAGCTCATGATAAATATCAACTTGATATCAATCAATAAATCTTCCCCCCCCCCAAAGCAGTTTAGCTAAGAAAGTGTTATATAGTCGATCAATACCATCTAGATCCTTCAAAGAATCCTAGAATTCTTTGAAAATTTTTGCAACCAATCGTGGCTTGGTGATCATTCGTGAAGAACCACGTGATTTTATTGGTGAGATTCAGATTGGTTGAATATCCTGCTAGAAAACTGTTGAAAGTAGATGCATGTCATTATGTTTTAAAGATGTTTCAACTTGACGATAAAACCTTCATGAGTTTTGTCGCTTGTTTCTGTTTTCTAGGAATTAAACAATCTTCAAAGAAAAATTCCTAAAGAAGTAAGACTTTTCTGAACAACTTAGTACGTCCCTAAATATACTCATATAGTTTCAAGTTGTTATTCATCGTAGACTGACATCAGTTGGAGGGACAAAGGAAACCTGGGAGTACTGGACAGCTGTTTCGTCACACTAGTATGGGACTCCTCAGCAGTGCGCACCCACGACCCCACCAGCAGGGATTGAACCCGCGACCTTCAGGTTCCGCGGCCAGCGCCTTACCATTGAGCCACTGGGTCAGAATCCAATGCTCCATATTTCCAACTTCTGTTAGCTCACGATATATAGCGCAACCGCCACCCAATGTCATCGCTGAGTATTTGTCCTCATGGCCGTAGGTGGTCGTGGGTGCGCACTGCTGAGGAGTCCCATACTAGGACGAAACAGCTGTCCAGTGCTCCCAGGTTTCCTTTGTTCCTCCAACTGATGTCAGTCTACGATGAATTAAAACTTGAAAATAATTCCAAATCTCCACAACTCCCTCAAAATACTCATATAGTGTTGTGAATGCTATAACTCGAGAATTGTAAGTCAAATTAACTTCGATCCAAAGTTTACTGATATAAGAATCGTTAAGTCACATCGATAATGAACGTCTCACTGAAGACCTTCAATCCGTCCATTGTACTTTACAGCTGTTTCTTCCTAGTATGAGACTCTTCAGCAATAGGCACCCACAACCCCGCCGGGGATCGAAACCACGACCTTCAGGTTGCGTGGCCAACACGTTACCATTAAGCCACTGGGTCAGCTGGCTGTGTTCCTGTAAGATAGTGTACCACCTTATTACTTACTGAAACTGTCTCCTACTGTATAGCTCACCATCAGCTAGAATCGATTTCATCAATAATGTGGATGATCTGAAAGCCTCCATACCTGTCTCCTATCTACTGTTAGATGATGATCATCCGCGAATGATTTTGTGCCGAATTCATCAAAATCTCTGACTATAAACTCTAGTTTCAGACAGGAATATAAACAATGTAGGCTGATTCAGTCTCATGATTGCTGATCTCAGTGTGTGTTTTCTTCGGACCTTTCCTACTCCTCTCATATCTCATATATGTCTACAAGAATCTTCCGTCTAACTTATTATATTACGAAGTTCAGAATTTCTGATATAATTCAACCTCCTCTCTTGTGTTTTATAAACTCCTGCATCTTGTCTGTTCTCCTCCTCTTTCCTCGACAGCTGAAAGAGACTATGCTATATTGCTTAGAACTTTGAAGAATCTCAGGAGACTTAGTGGTGTACGTCTAACCCTTCTAAATGATGACACCGTTCTGGATGAACATCTTAACTCATATAAACATCTAATAGAAGTCATTTTAGCAGATGACCATCAGTCTGTTTACTCGAAGACCTCTACATGTCGATGCTTAGAGGCAAAACCAACGGCAGGTACATAAAACTCTAGGCACGTAGTAATCAATATAAAAACTCTACAATTCCATACTTACCTGGTGTCTTATGAGATGAAGAAAGTGTGAATAGTGAACCAACTAATCAACTTCTGTTTTCGAAAGTAAACTAATTAAATATAACTCAGTAGTATGAGTCGATTTATTATTGTGATTAGTTACCTAAGTTAACTCTGCCTTTTCAGCAAGGTGGTATAAGGAGTAATTATTTTATGATTTATCTTTTCTGTAGTTCCTCTGTTATTCATCTTGTATGACCTGCTGAAAATTATGTACAGTATCCGTGAAATATCTTGCAGAATAAAGACATTATTACTACTTTGACTGATAACTGAAGAGCAAACTTGGTGATAGATGACGCAATTTTATCCATCATATTTCCAATGTGGTCCCCACCAAGCCAAGAGGTCCACTATCTCTGTTAGTTGGCTCGAAGTAATTAGCAGGAAGCTGTATATAACCTAGGTTTCGTGTTTGTTGGCAATCATCAGTAATGCATATCTGTGATCTTGAAGGAATTGACAATCTGCCTAAGATAGATTCGAACCCATGTCACCCAGTGCTACAGTCAGAGATGTTACCAATGGGCTATTCAGGTGACAAGTGATCCCCTGTAGTGTTGGATTGTGTATAGCGATTAATCACTGAAGGGTAACCAACTTCATTTTATCAAATCCTGATCGAATTCTCTCGATCATTTCACATTGTAGCTGTCATCAAGTTAGGCAGCTGACAAGCATAATGCACTTTGATAGGTGTTTGTTGGTTGGTTTCACACCTTTTAGTACTCATCAAGAGATCGTACGTGTAAGCATGACGAAACTGCTTTTCTCTAGATGACTCTAACCCGCATAACTCAGTGACGAAGTCATTCATTGAGTAACCCATGTGATTTTCTGGGTCTTGGGGATTGGCAATGATCCAAATCTATCGATCGATAGCTGACTAAAACCTTTATTATTACTACTATCATTATTATTGTTATTATTATCATTACTTAAGTGTACACTTGGCAAAAGTCGAGAAAGTACTTTTTTACGCTAATTGTTCAGGCGATAAAATTTTCCATTCATTGTTTTTTGTTGTTATTACCTAAAGTCAAAGAAGTTAGGAATGTAGAAGTCAAAATTTATACGCATCATCATTCTCCTTCTTATCCATCATACTAAGAAAACGTAACCCTCAAGTGGATTGAAGATGATCATAAAATCAGAAAAAATCTCCAGAAATGTCACCAAATACGCCGTCTCTTTACTATTTTGGCTAGCAGTGGGATGCAAGAGCAGACGTTTCATCTCATTCAGTACTCGTCAGCTGAATGAGTTGATCTCCAGCAAAGGAGTAAATATACAATCAACGACTGATCAATATCATCCAAGATAACAATACACATAGGGGTAAAATTATCGATAAATAATTTTCTAGCGGTTAACTTTAAATCTTGACAAAACCAACAGCATTAAAAAAATGAAAATCCTTAGTGCTTCGATTCTTCTGTTTCATCAACGAATCCGTCACTCACACCATAATAATAATTTTCAAAGACATCAAGATCTGTTTTAATCACTATATACAAGTTATACCAATAAAAGTTGCTACTGTAACTCAGGTGCCTAGTCGGCGAGGATCTGTTCCTTCAAGTTCTGCAGTTTGAGTCTTAGAGAAAACAGAATCACTCACTCAGAGGTAAGTACATTCAGCTGATGAGTCATAAATAAAAAGAAACGTGCTTTAAACTGGATTCCACTGGTAATCACTCAATAAACCACAATGCTGAACTCTGTTACAATAGGCATGGTATAAGATATGAGGCTAGAATTAGAATGGCACTTAAACCTCGCGTAGAAACAAGCTTCATAGGTTAAAAGATCCTATCGGTCTAATTAAACAGAATACGGGTGAAGTAGTCGATCAAGGTCGGTCAATTAAGCTATCCAAATAGAAGGACTTAGCTAGATCAGAATTCGTAGGTCCTAATTCGATAAAGAATCTCGAAGGAAGCTCAGCCACAGCTATGTATATAATTACACACAACGATACAATAGGATGGGATAAAGTGACAGTCCTTAAAATTGACTTCGTGTGATGGAGGGAGAGATTGATAATGGAGACTTTGTCCATCGGATCAATACTGAATACATACAACAGATGTATGGAAAATTCTGCTATCTATATGACAAAGAAGGTGAAGGAGTTCGAACTCTGTCAACTATGACTCATAGTTGTTGAATTAACTTGATATTCACGATTATAAACAACAAATTGTATCCAAAGCTTAATCCAGTAGACAATATTATTTATTCGAACCATATACACATGATTTGACCACTGAGAATAACCCACCCTCCTATGGATTGTATAAACCTTGGTAACTATTCAGGTGACGAGGCAACTAAATAGTATTCACACAAATAGATGAGTATACTCAACAACAACAACATCAACAACAAAATGATGGTCATACTTACTCAAACTGTGTTGTATTTCATCCATAGCTAAGCTTAAAGGATACCAAGCAGTAGTGGCTGCATTAACACCTGCTGCTGTCTCAGTCATTGTCGATGCTCCCATTTTTGTCATCAAACCGTTTGTTGTTGACGATGATATTGTAGGAGTTGATGATGATGATGATGTCGATGTTGTAGAACAAGAGATGAATGTTGATTTCTCTGTATTATACATTGAATTAATTAAAGTCGGTATATTATTGATAATATGATGAATAGTTGATGAAGTGTTATGTGGATTAGTGCCAATATCTGTAACACTGGCAACAGATGTTATCTTTGAATCTTCTCCAGTTGTATGAATGAATGGATGAATACTTTTCAATAATTTCTCTTGTTCTTGTCGGTTAGTTTGATTCAGTATACTACTAGAAGGATTGAATTGATTCCATGCTGTCAATGGACTAGTACGTTGCATACTACTTCCTTCTTATTCAATGAGTAGTATATAAAATATAAATAAAGATAGATCCACAAGTTTTTCACCGGTCAGTTGTTATATTCGCCTTCAATGTTTATCCAGTGTATAAATAAATAAATATTTGAATAATAAACTGTCGAATCGTTTACTTTTTGTAATGTTCGTCTTTTTTCTCACTCGATATGATTTTTGAAGCTACTTTCCAATTTAAACAAAGCGTAATTTATGTTAATTATACAAAATTCTCGACAATATAATTGTGTATATGTGCGGTCGTATGTGTGCCTCCATGTGCGTGTGTATAACTAAAAGACGAGAGAGAGAGAGAGGGGTAGGGACAGCGTTTATGTATACATCGTGATTAATTGTTTGCTTGTATGATAATGTGCATAGAGGCGTATACGTGTAACCATTTTTATCATAATAATAACTTCTAATATGATTTACAATAGTAATAATAATAATATGACAATAGTAATGATGAGACGATGATTTAATTTGACGGTACACTCACCTCACACTTGCACAATTGGCTAGACCACACACATCAAAAAAACATACATGTCCATACTGGAAAGCTCATTCAAGGCAGCAATGACTTTTCACAACCACTTATTTGGAAGATGGTTTAGTATGATGTGTTATTTTGTCTAGATTTTGCTTTAAAAATCATTCAAAGGTGAGGAAACAGTAGCGTGTATATCTATTCAGTGTGTTAACATTTGTACGTATGTCTGTGTGTGTTTATCTTCTTACTTGTATAACATTTAAATTGACAAATTAACGATAAGCTGATCTAACCAATTAAAACAGACTGGGAGTTAAAAAAAATTAATAAGCAAGGTGATAACGAATAAGAGTATAGTTGTTGTTGTTTTTTGATGACATTTTGACGCATCGGGAAAATTTGTCGAAGCTTAATCAAATAAATTTATCTGGTGTAATTAGTGTCTCTGTGTTTATATGTTTGTCTATCCATGTATAGGAAAATCTAAATGAATATGATTTTTAGCAAATTTATGCACATCGACCTACCACAAGTCGAATAGCGATGTGTCTGTCTTTAATTTATGTGTCTATCATCATACTTTTCCGAACAAGGTCATTCATTCATTTTCCTATTATATATTTCAACTTGATAGGATGTCAAATGACTGGCCAAAGTCTGTCAGCTAATCAACCAATCATTCGTCTGCGTACGTGTAGAACGGACGCACGCATTCATCTACTCACATACACAGGCACACATATACAACATGCCCACAGGAAGAGAGATTCAAATGATAGTTAACCATTGTTTACACAAATTTACGATATTAAAAGAATCATTGTAAGCCTAATTTATTTAAAAACATATGATCTTTATCATTTTTGTCTTGTCTTTTCCCTTTGTATCTTTTGTCAAGCTATTCAACCGGAAGTGACCCTGTGACCTTGGGGGAATTTAAATTAACCACCAATTAAAACTAAGTAAGTAGATGAAGGAGAACACAATAAATCAACAGTTGGTATATACAATAATTCATCCTTTTATAGGAAATAATGACTGTAATTCACCATATGGTGGTAACTTAAATATATCAATGTTTGTATAATTAGTAAAGAATTTGGACTTTTATTGTTATAATGATCATGATTATTGAATGATGAACAGTTAATACTTTAGAAGTAGTTTTTATCACGGACTGACATCAGTTGGGGAACCATTGAAAGTATGGGAGCACTGGACACCTGTTTCATCCTAGTATGGGACCCCTCAGCAGTACGCACCCACAACCCGGCTAGGGGTCGTCCCCGGAACCTTCAGGCTTCACGGCGAACGCGTTAACCATTCAGCCATTGGGTGGGCTTACAGTAGTTCACAAGTTCCAACTTCTGTCAATTCACGACATTGCGCGACTATCACCCAAGGTCTTCAGTTAGCATCCACTTCACTTCCGACTGGTTGATCTCACAGGTCACGGCTTCTCATTAGAACTTCCTGATATCCATCTGACCTAGGTCAAAACAGTTGTCCAGTGCTCCCAGATTTTCAATGGTTCCCCAACTCATATCAGTCCATGATGAATACTACTTCTAAGTTAATACTTTGTTTGAATACACATTACAGAGTTGTGGATAGTCATTGTGTTGAAGTTAACCAAATGCTGAAACTCTTGGTTTTTGTATTATTTCTCTTTCACTCAGTAGCTGGTTGGTGATGTGATTACCACGAGACATGAGCGATCTAGGCATAGTCCCTTGTGGGGTCATGGTGTACACTGCTACAGAGCCCCATACTAGAAAGAAACATATGTCCGGTGGTTTCAGGTGAAAACTGGAGATGTGGTTCATCAGCGTAGTAACTTGGCCTTAAAACAATGAGTCCTGGGTTATAACCCGCTTATTCTATTCTTTCAGCTTACGGTTTGTAAACATTTGAGTTATTTTTAGTTGGTTGGAGGCAATCAGCAGGAAACCCTGCTGGACCAAGGTTCATGCTTGTTAGCACTCGTCAGGAAGGCGTATTTAAAACCTCGAGGGAAATGATGTTATTCCTGTGATACTTGAACCCCGTGTCAATCTTTTTATTAGGCAGTCTACACTTGAAGCTCATTTCTTCACTCATGAAATGAAGCGAATAGTTCTTCCGAAGGAATCTCCAGTCGGAAAGTAAAGGATAGAGTCTTCGAAAGCTCCTAGATAACTCATATGAACTGATTACTACTGGCGTATTCGTTGCTGGCCGGAATGGAACATTGTATGTACCGATGAGTTGCAAATGACCTCCTGTATGACTGGGTTCGATACACTGATTGGTCAGTGGAGGATAGCTGATCGAATTCTGTCTATCATTTCGCAGTATAAAAAGCCAACAAGCCAGGAGACTCATCATCATGGTACACTTTGATAAATATTAGTTGGATGGAAGGACTCATCAATAAGGCGGATCTACAACCCGTCTCTCAGTGCATAGTGATGATAAGCTGCCTAGTCTGGTGGTCACATTGCAAAATGATCTATAAAATTCGATCATCACGTAGAACTAGACAAAATGAAATTGATTAATCAATAAGATAAATCCAGTCATATAGGAGGTCATTAGTGACCTGAATAGCTCAGTGGTAACGTCGGTGACTACCATACTGTGGGTTGTGGGGTCCGAACCCCGCTTGGATAGGAAACCAGTTCTGTTTGGGTTGCAGACACCTTGTTGATGAGTGTCAAAAAGTACGAAATTCGGGTTCTATGAAAAAATAAACCTGAGATAAACAATCAGTGTGAATACCACTGCTTTTCAGTACCTTCCGGTGACAAAGCATGGTGTAGGTTTGAAGAAAACGCCTAAAAATGACTGAAAACATGCTATTCCTTTATGAAAATTTAAAAAAGAAGGTTGAAGTCTGGTATTACATAATCGGATAAATAATACTCTGTACCGGATCTTTCAGTCCCACCACCATAATCTTTGTTTTAACTCAATGAGTTCACCCCAAATTAAGCATACTAGGCTTATGAATTGCGTATTTAACCTCATTAGCCTGTATGTCACTGAAGAAGACACAACGAACCACAATGAATTCGCCAAAAACTCAATAACCTAGTTATTTTTTGCTGATTAAATGGTGAACTGAATATGTGAGAGTGTTATTTATGTAGTTATTTATTTATAAATAAATCGGATTATAATTTAAAGGATAGTGTAATGATGTTAGGCTGCATTACATAAATGACCTTGAAGGAATGAAAGCCGAAATTGTCATGGATTATTTAACACAAATCATAATCTTTTAATGTCTAAATATTTTGTAATCAAATGGATAGGCTGCTTTCACCCAATAGTAGATTATGCGCGCATGCATGCACGTACGTGCGTATATGTGCATGTGATGACCTTGAACTAATCGATCCAGAAATTGAAAATAACTTGAGCTTAATAAATGACTCATTTAACATTGAGGCATTACGTACAGGAGCACATCTGCCAATGAAACTCGTGCAATTCGATCCAGTAAAACAACGGAGAATTACAAACATCAACAAATAATGATACTCATTGCACTAGAAGTGGACCTTGTGCCCTAATAGCCTAGCAGATATTACTTTGGTATTTGAAATAATGGGTATTGGGTTGGAGTCTCAGTGGGGACAACACTACACTGACTGAGGTACACGGAGAAGACGACATCCAATTAGGATAAGAAACGCGTCCCGCTTTACATTGCTTGTTACTGTCAAGTATCCGGGGCCTTCATGTCTTGTGGTGAGCACGTTACCACTGAGCCCTTGGGTTGGACTCAAATGGTCTGATATTCTTATTTTTGTCAATTTGTGATATAGCGTGACCCCACATAGTCATGGGTCAGCGCCTCTGAGGATTCCTATGGTAGGACGCTATCCAGTTCTCTAAGGTTTTCAACTGTTCCCCATCTGAGGTCAATTAATCAATTCACAAAAACCTCTGAATTGAATAACTCTACGATACTTGAAGCTGAAATGGATTCACCACCGACTGAATCTGAGATAGTGTCAAGTGTACATGACAGACACTGTGAAAAAAACTCTTATACTTTGATATCAGAGTGAACTGTTGCCAGTATATATTTCCAAGATCGGATTGTGCGACCTAACAGTCTACAAGTGATATGAAACTAATGCGTAAACGAATCAACTTTAAACACTAATCAGAACGTCAACCACCACCACAACAAAAAACATACCAATGATATGTGAAAAAAAGAAGAGAAGACGGACCTTTGATAGAGAGCTTTTAACTGTCTCAACAACGGTGAAAAACATTTCACAGTGATACTGAATATACATACATTCCTAAATGACCTTGACAACACCAAATCCACATTTCGGTTAAAAGAGTTAACAACCAATGAGAATTCAACCTTCAGAACAGTAGGAAAATGAAAGTTTGTAACGTTATAAATACGGCAATGGAAAGTTATTTTAAGATTATAGACAAACACCAAACAAAATTTATGCGAAATTAGACGTGTGTAACATCTAGTCAAGTGGAAAGATGGTGGAATTGTACTGTCGTTATACAGACTATTCATACGTCGTATGCGAAGACCATGGGAATAGTGGTTATGTACGTAGTCTAACTAAACTTACTTTCATAATGGAAAATAAAAACCGGACTCCTTTCTTTTATATTGTATTATGCAGCAGAGAAGACGTGAAACTATGGGGGTTAGTTTTAAGCTAAGCTTAAGTAAATAGAACGGTACGCCAATTTGAATCAAATAGGTCAGGGAGACAGATTAGGTTGAAACTCAACTGAAAAACCTTAGAAACACATATAGTTGCATCAGAAGATGTATAGTGAGTGATTGAAATGAACGAACGATATTCACTCAACAGCCTTATGCACATTCTTGCAGTAGGTAGTGAGTCAACCCCCCCCCCATTGTGTGAAGGATAATGATACTACCCGTGACTCATCGGTTGAAAGTCATCTGCCTAAACCAATGACTCAGAGATACACTATAACTGTCCATATCCAAGGTTAGAAATACAGACGGGAAAGTACAGTTACATTTGGTTGCAAAGAAGAGTAGAAAGTATCTTTCATTGGTCATCCAAAGAACCACAACTCTACAAGTACAAAAATCCACCATTCGAGTTTGAAACAAACCAAAATTGAAAGTTATTCAACAACGCCTTGTAGATGTTGAAGTAGTAAGCAATTAGCCACACTTAATATATGACAGCTAATCCTACTACTTGACAGTTCAAACTGTAGCAACTGGAGGTGACTTCGAACTTATAACCCACCAGTTGAAAGTAGCAATTTCTCAAATGTCAAAATCAATACTCAGATATCGATTGTACATAATATGAGGAGAGACTAAACGATGCACTGGAGTCAAAATTACAACAGGAACAGGCTGCATGGATCGCTGACTTCAACACAATCAAATCACGTGCACATCAAATTGCAACACTGCACTACGCTACCCAACATCATACAACAAAGCAGAGAATGACAGTCAAATCAACTCTACCTCAACTTCATCCACTTCACAAAGGCAGGCCTTCGACGGCGTCCACCGAAAAGTAATTGGGCAGGCAGCTCCTTCAACACAACCGTTTCACTGACACAAACCCTTATCAACCTAATTCAACACCAGCCAAATGCTATGCTGTATGAGGCTACATGTCGAATGATTCACAATGGAAAGCTGCTCAGTGATGCTACTACTACTACTACTACTACTACTACTACTACTACTACTACTACTACTACTACTACTACTACTACTACTACTACTACTACTACTACTACTACTACTACTACTACTACTACTACTACTACTACTACTACTACTACTACTACTACTACTACTACTACTACTACTACTACTACTACTACTACTACTACTACAACTACTACTACTACTACTACTACTACTACTAATACTACTACTACTACTACTACTACTACTACTACTACTACTACTACTACTACTACTACTACTACTACTACTACTACTACTGACACCCATGTTGCTAATACTGGTCACATTTTTTACTTGTGATTCCTAAGGAACTTATCAGTTATTTAAGGAGCGTAATTGTTGATCAGTAAGGTGTCTGTAATGTATCTGGTTTCTTGTCTTAGATCTGTTTTATGAGTAAATTTTCTGGTTCTGTTACTTAAACACCTTTACTGAGCCAACTTTAACCGACATAGGGTGAGACGATTTGAATTCTGAGTAACGACTCGACTGTGAAAGTTTTCTGTAGACACTAGTGTGTCTAAACTTCCATCTTGTTTCCGTTTTATTCTGCAATTACACATGAACTGGATTGCTTTGAACATTGAATTTATATGTGCTCCTACTTCAACACTTTAATTGTGACGTCTACATATCAAAGCCATACTTTTGGATCAGGAGTAAATATTTCGACAGCCATCCGCTTTCAACTGCCCTTAAATGTGTCTACCATGAAAGAGTATATGGGTGATCTTACGGAAACTCCTTCTGCTTGTTTACATATTTTATTCTGAGGATTACAGAAGTTAGGCATAGCTGTACTCCTAACATGATCTCGTCTATTGATACCTTATTTTTCCATTGTAAAGTGGAATTATATTCTACCACAGTACCCCAATTTTACGACCACATTACTTTAGTTCTTGTTATGGATTTTACTGTCAATATGTACCACGAAAAATAAAGCAAATCAACCAGGAACAATAATAAATAGTAGTAGTACTACTGATAATAATAGAGTCCCTCTTCATCATGTTCTACGCTTAAAAACGTAGTTTTTTTCCACTTGAATTGGACGCATTCTTAAGTGACTTAGCAACCAAACCCTTGCCTGGTTAACTAGTTCACTAGTTACTAGTCGGTACTAAGCCCGGATAAATGAGGGAAGGTTGGGCATACGGCTAGCAAACCTACACCGGAAAACCAATCCAATTACTAAACAAACTTAAAAGCACAAACGAAATCAAACTTATTCCTCTCTGGAATCGGAGAGATGATATGACGCCAGTTGATAAAAGTCGTCGGGAAGACAATCGACCAATGTGTATTCTCTCCCTCGATGAAAGCGAAAGTAGGATTGGAGACATGGAATGTCCACAAAATCTATGAATCTAGCAACGCAGTCCATATTGCCAAAGAGATTAGAAGGTATGGCATAGAAGTGCTAGGAATCTGCGAAAGCAGGTGGAATGGAAGTGGACTCTCCTAACTGAAAACTGAACAGTCAATAATCTATTCCGATATTGTCAACCAGACGACAACCACGAACACAGCACACTGATTTTTCGAGTGGCTCCCATGATGTCCCCTTCAAGAGCATCGAAGACTCTCATGCAGTGGGAACCAATCTCCTCCACGACCAGGATCGGGATCATGACAGCCAGATTCAACTGAAAAGGAAGGAAACTCACAATCATACAATGCTACACTGTGCACCTACAAACAATAAAGCAGATGAAGAGAAGAAGGAGGAATTCTACAGACAACTGCAATCAGCACTGGACAAGACCCCACCACAGTTGGTGACATCAAAATTCTAATGGGTGGGGTGACATAAATACGAGACTGGGAGTAGACAACACAGGATGAGAAGCAATCATGTGTCGAGAGGGACTCGGTGAAATCATGAACGAGAATGCAGAACTGTTTGCAGACTTCTATTCATTTGATGACTTGATGATTGGAGGTGGTGTGTGCGAACACAAGGATATTCACAGAGCGACATGGATTTGATTTCACCAGATGGATACACTAAAGATCAGATCAACTTCATCTGAATCTCAGTGAAGTGGAGAAGTAGCTTACTGGACACAAGATGAGATCAAGAGGGGGAGCAGATGTAGGTTCACACGACTCAGTATCTACTGCCAAAAATGTGCCTTCAAAATCGAGTTGGAAGCCATTACAGAAGTTGTTAATAGACGACAACAGTTCAAGTTCAACACGCAGAACACAAACTGAAGGATGAAACTACAAGCGACTTCTTCACGTCAGCCATCAGGGAAAGAGGGGAGACATTGAGCGACATCCCTGAAGGGACGTGTGTGGGAGAACACTGGAACTCTTTGAAAGAGATGTGAAAAGAAACCTACATAACCGTGTTAGGAAGGAAGAAGAAACAAGACAAGGAATGGAATGGAATAGATCTTGACGGATACATGGAAGCTGATAGAGGATGGAGAGGAAGATGGTGAAGCAGAAGATGAACCAGTGCACTACAAAGATGAACAACGAAAAGAGGAAGTGAGTACAACCTATAAAAATACTACACTGGACAAAGAAGTGAAGAAGAGTGTGCAAGAAGATAAAAGATACTTCTGCGGCAACTGAAGCAGAACAGGCTGCTGGTAAGAGAGACAGAGACCTGACAACACTATATAGAATAAACTGGTTACTGTCTGGGAAGAGATAAGCACAGATGAAACAAATGAAAGATAGTGAAGGGAACCTTGTTACCAGAGAGGAGAAACAAAGGAAACAGTGGGCTGATCACTTCAAAAAACTCTTGAACCGACCACCAACAACAACTGCAACGTGTCCAGAAAGACCACCAGCAGCCCAGCCACAGAATTACCAGTTAGTACAAACCCTCCGAAAAAGGAGAAGTGAGGTCCTGAACATCATAAAGCTACTGATATGCAAAAAAGCAGTAGGACCAGTTGGATTTCCTTCAGAAGCACCGAAAACAGATGCAGAGACATCAGTGGACACGCTAAAACCACAAGTGCAGAAGGTTTGGAAGAAAGGAAGGGAAAGTACCTGCAGATTGGATGAAGGGTTACCTCGTCAAACTCTAGAAAAAAGGAGACCAAACGGTTTGCAAGAGCTGGCGAGAAATCATGCTGCTGTCTCTGTCCAACCCAAGCTAGCAAAATATTAGGCCACGTAATCGTGGAGAGACTAGAAGATGCACTGGAGTCAAAATTACAACAGGAACAGGCTGCATGGATCGCTGACTTCAACACAATCAAATCACGTGCACATCAAATTGCAACACTGCACTACGCTACCCAACATCATACAACAAAGCAGAGAATGACAGTCAAATCAACTCTACCTCAACTTCATCCACTTCACAAAGACCGGCCTTCGACAGCGTCCACCGAAAAGTAATTGGGCAGGCAGCTCCTTCAACACAACCGTTTCACTGACACAAACCCTTATCAACCTAATTCAACACCAGCCAAATGCTATGCTGTATGAGGCTACATGTCGAATGATTCACAATGGAAAGCTGCTCAGTGATGCTTCTGGAGTGAAGTGAAGTGAAGACAGGAAGGAGTAAGATAAGGTTTCTGCCTACTGTCATCACCGACAATCTTCCTGATTGGGGTCAAATCGATTGGACTGGACTGGACTGGATCATGCAACAGACAACTGTGAGTAGCTGTGAGAAGATGGGCATTTACTGGCTGGATCGATGAAAAGACTCCACAGGAAGATTTGCATTTCGCTGTCGCCGCCACCGCCGCCACCGATGATGATGATGATGATCTATGTCTAGTGTCTCATGTTGCACAAACTCAGATATCTACAGGCGAAAACTAACAAGTTGACAGAAGAGGTCAGGCACAGAAAGATGACGTGACTTCAAGTGAACGTAGAGAAGATGGAGGTGATGAAAACAATCAACCAACCAACAACAATAACTACAACAAGCACCAGTCACCATCAGTGGGAGAAATATAAAGGAGGAAGTTGTCTCTTTCACCTTCCTACCTGTCTAGACGGTATCGTTTCAACTACAGACGGCAGCGGCGGCACAGATGAGGATGTCAAAGCAGCCGGGATCAGGAAGACATGAAGACAGGCCTCTCTGCATTAATCTGAAATAATCAGTGTGGAGATCTACTGCACCACACTGCACAGTACTACACTGCACTCAGCATAAAGCGTGAACAACATGCGGATTTCCAACACTCATATCAGTCAATTTCAAGTCAGTTCTTCTATATGATGGTTGAGAGATTTGGCGGTGCGTCACTTAAAGCATTTGCAACAAACTGCAGACATTGATCACATCAATAGCTGCTGCCTATAGTCACTCGATACTGACACTGAAGACGGTAGGCCAGACTAATAAGAATAAGCAACAAGGAACTCCAGCTGGAGACGAACCAACAAGGAACCAATCGCCCAGATATGCAGAAAGGAGTGGAGATGGATTGTATTGTATTATACATACACTGAGAAGACGGTTTAGGGACATCACATGCCAGATCAGGCCGTTAATTGGAATCATAAGGTGAAACGACGTGTTGGGATACCGAGCCTGGCGTGACCTGAGGGAGATGGTGTGAGGAGGAAATCAGAGGTTGTGGGCAGTAGTGGAATCAGGTTGAAAAGACTGTAGAGAAGAGAATGGAATGGCGATGTGCTAGTGAAGCTCTATGTTCGATCAGGAACCTAAGGGATAAAATAATAATAAGCGAGGAATTTTCCCCTATATTAAAAGGAATACTTACCAACTTAGCTAGGTAACAGGGAAATTAAAGGTGTTCGTTAGTTCTTTATTTATACATCTAATCGGGTCTAAGTATTTAGGAAATGTAAGCGGATCATTTTAAGTAGCTAAAGTACGTTTTCTCTCCCTTCTTCAAGTACTAATAACATACTAGAAAACTAGCCCTCTGCATAGACAAGTTTATTCCTATGAATTTTGGGAGTTTGTGGGGATTTAGTGAATTTTTTTATCAAGTTAGCATTCATCATAGAGCGACATCAGTTGGATGAACATTGGGAACCTGGGAGCACTGGATAGCTGTACCGTCCCTGTATAGGACTCCTCAGAAGTGCCCACCTATATCCCGACCCCACTGCGGATCGAACCATGGACCTCCAGGTTCCAAGGCCAATACGTTACCACCGAACCACTGGATCGGAGTCCAAAGGCCCATATTTCGTATTTCTGTCTGTTCACGACATAAGACGCACCATTACCGAATGTCATCGTTGAGTATTTCTCTTTAAGTGCACTAGGTTTGGTTTGCTGGAAAATCACTTAATCCCCACAAACTCCCAAATTCAGTTGAACTGGTGCTCATTGGTGACTAGCTTCAAGAAGTGATTCCTGAAGTTCCAATGAGAAGTGGTGATCAGTAGGACTAACCTGATGGCCATGAGGACAAATACTCAACGATGACATTGGGTAATGGTCGCGCTATATCATGAACTAACAGAAGTTGGGAATATAGATGACTGGATACTGACCCAGTGGCTTAGTGGTAACATACTGGCCATAGGAAGTGAGGGTTGCAGGTTCGAGCCCTGGCGGAGTGAAGTAATGAGTGCCCACTGCTGAAGAGACCCATTCTAGGACGAAACGTCCGATGAGTGCTCTCAGGCTTCACATATCCCTCCAAATGATATCAGTCCATGATGAACAACAACTTGAAATATTTCCGAATCCTCATAACTCCCTCAAAATTCTATTGAACTGGTGCTCATCGGTGACTAGCTTCTAGAGGTATTCCCGAAGTTCCGATGAGAAGTGGTGACCGGTGGGGGCAAAGCCTGATGGTCATGAGGACATTGGGTGGTGGTTACACCATATCATGAGCCAATAGAAGTTGGAAATATGGACCAGTGGATTCTGACCCAGTGGCTCAATGGTAACGTACTGGCCACGGAACCTGAAGGTAGCGGGTTCGAAACGTGAAGGAGTCGTGGGTGCGCACCTTTGAGGAGTCCCATGCTAGAACGAAACAGCTGTCCAGTGCCCTCAAGTTTCCTTCATTCCTCCAACTGATATCAGTCCACGATGAATACCAACTTGAAAAAAAAATTGGTTTTCCTTCTAAAACTGATTAACTGATTTGCAACCACTCAATCTATGGAAGTATTTTCATCAAGATTTCAATGCACTTCCCCATGAAATCTTTATAGTCGTTACTCTGGTTTCAGAATGAGAATTATCATCTATTCATTAGGTGGGTCTTTATGGTTCACTTCTTACAGGAAAACTAGTTAAGTTAACTGAAAAATATTTAAAACCTCGAGGAAATCATATTTCATTGTGTTTTCAATGGATCCTTCTACATTCTATCAACTTAATTAATTAGAAGTTTACAATCAAGATATTAATGTTGTTGCATGTATTAAACCGTCGGGGAGTAGACCAATTTAATCGATCTGTATTTACATCCACACAGGAAAGCAAATACCATTAGAGATCGATCAATTTGGGTTAATACAAGTAGCAACGTTACAACTATAGCTGCCGTATCAGAAGTGGCTATCATGGCTCAGTGGTCTAGGGGGATAATGCTGTGACGTTTGAAGCTGTCGGTGTTAAGTTCGAGTCCTTGTAGGAACAACACCGCTCACTGAGGGGCAAGTACGTTCAGCTGGACTCTATTGTTAGCTACTACTCATTATTAACATATAACTGAACCAGTGATATTTTTGTTCAAATCCTGCGAGAAATCAAGTTTTTCAACTTCGTCTTACTTACAACCTCTTGACTAAACACAAGCTATCACACAGTGAACGCTTTTCTCAACTTTCTAGCCTCAGGGATAACGTTTTAGCTTTTGAAGCCCTATGTGCTGGTTTCAATTCCCCTGGGAAAAATATGTCCAGTTGATGAGTACCATTTGGGATGAAATGCATCTCTTGCTAGCCACAATGAAGCATTACTGTAAGACTTAGACATTATTTAAGCTATTGCACAGATAAACTAACCACTTTCTTTCTCTACCTTTCTCTCTGACAGTATCTATGACTTTGCTAAGGCAAGTCATTGTTGTACTTGAAAGACGCCATGATATGGTAGTAACCAAAAAAAGACAACAACAACACAAACAACCATATCTAAAAATAACACTTAGTCTTGTATTTGTATATAACTAAGAAAAAGTACACCAGAATGATGACATTAATATTGAACATTGAAGGTCAACAATTTATTCTGCCCACCGACAGAATTAACCACATTCCCCCTAATATTTATTCAATCCATTGGGTAGTGTGAATATTTCAAGGTCATATTTTTGTCATACAATTTTCTTGCATCAAGTTTATGCTGTTTTCTTTGGTTTAACAGATTTCCTAAACGAAAAATATAAACAAATGTAACGTAAGTTTTAAACTGGCGCGCTTGATTTTCAAGTTTGGAAATGAAGCAACCATTTGTTCAATAATAATAGTGAAATGATGGATTTAAACAAAGAAAATATAAGAAATCTTGGTTTTTAGTTATTTTTTTATTTAATCTTAACCTTAGAGAAGGAATGAGAAGAATAAATCAGGTTTGTTTTGAGAGATCAATGTACTTCCTTCAGTTTGACACTTCATGAGGGATAGAAGTACAGCCTCTGAAGAAAAATAGTTGGAACACACACACACACACACACACGAACCTACACGTTTTTGTAGTCATACCACCTGGCTACCTAAACTTTAGTAACTGAAGTGGCTGAATGTTACCTGTCTAAACCGATCAACCTCACCTCATAAAACTTCTATGCTGGCAGGGCGAAATTCTTTGTACTGTTGATCGCTAGCGTACCGCATTCGTCGCACAACGAGCAATTTTTTTATTAACTCAATGGCCTAGTAAATAAAGAATGGGTGAGGTTTAGGCTATAATGTTTACACCTTTCGCATATTGTGCTTGGTTTGTCGTTGGTTCATGTTTTTCTCTTCCAGATTCTCAGGATCTTCGCCCTATTTTCTGCCCCTTTATGCGCCTCCTCTATGTAGTAGTGTACTTACAAGTTAGTTGGAAATCTACAGACAAACCTACTGAACTATTATTTTGTACTACATTCATGCCTACATTCGGTACTGAAGATCACATGGTCAGAAAGAATAAGCAACAAGGAGCTCTGGGAACGAACCAACCAAGAACCTATCACTCAACAAATATGCAGTGGAATAAAGTGGAGATGGATTGGATTGGGCATGCACTGAGAAGGCCGACTGGGGACATCACGCGTCAGGTCAGGTCGTCGAGTGGAACCCAGATGGGAAACGACAAGTTGGGCGTCCAAGGTGAGAGTGACATGGAGGAGATGATGTGAAGAAGAAATGAGAACTTTTGGGCAGTGGTGGAGCCATGCTGAAAAGATTGCAGAGAAGAGAGTGCACTGGAGACGTGGTACTGAATTCTCATGTTCCATTTGGAACCCAAGGGATAAATAATAATAAATCATGTACGATTTCAAGTTCACCCGCTGTTGTAGAGCTGGTTACATAGGCCGCAAAAGTGGTTACATTATCCAAACTCACCTCCGAACACTATAATGTTTAATGGAGAGTGCAAAGCTAACAAAATCTTGATTATTGAGTATCAGATTATCTCAAATCATTCTGCTTCAAGATAATCTTTCTTCATAGTTATTTAAAAAGTCAAATCGAACATTTGGAAAGGATGGATATTTATCACTTGAACATATACCCTCAAATTTTGGCACGATTCAGCAGTTCACGCCTGATCTTTGCATCCATAGGAGAAAGGCATGTCGATTTAGTTAACTAATTAATAACCAATGAACTTAGTGCCAACGTTCAATTGTTCTTGTCTTTGCGTAATGCAAATTCGCCTCTTAACATCATTTTCAAAAAAATAAACAAACATATCACCTTCTTTCTGTTGAAATTAAACTTGTAGCGTTTAGTGGAACTAAGCGAAGTGTTTGGTTGCTGACTTATTATTATTATTATTTTATCCTTGGGTTACTAGTCAAACATAGGGCTTTACTAGCACGTCGCCATTGCACTCTGTACTCTGTAGTCTTTTAAACCTGGCTCCACGACTACCCACAGGCTTTCATTTCTTCTTAACACAATCTTCTCCACGTCACCCTAGGCTCGCACGCCTAACTCGTCGTTTCCCATTTGGATTCAACTCCAACGCCTGATCTGGCCTTATATGTGATGTCCCCAAACGTTCTTCTCATTGTATGCCCAATCCATTTCCACTTTCTTCTTCTGCTCATTTGTTGGGTGATAGGTTGTTGGTTGGCTGGTTCATTGCCAGCCAAACATCCCCCGTGCTTGTTCTTATTATTATGCCTATCTGATCTCCATCTTCAATGTCAGTATCGAGTGAGAGTAGGCAGCAACTGTTGATGTGATCAATGTCTGCAATCTGCTGGAAATGCATTCCTTAACACGCCAAATCTCTCAACCATCATATACAAGCACTGACTTGAAATTGACTGATATGAGTGTTGGAAATCCGCATGTTGTTCACGCTTTATGCTGAGTGCAGTGTAGTACTGTGCAGTGTGGTGCAGTAGATCTCCACACTGATTATTTCAGATTAATGCAGAGAGGCCTGTCTTCATGTCTTCCTGATCCCGGCTGCTTTGACATCCTCATCTGTGCCGCCGCTGCCGTCTGTAGTTGAAACGACACCGTCTAGACAGGTAGGAAGGTGAAAGAGACAACTTCCTCCTTTATATTTCTCCCACTGATGGTGACTGGTGCTTGTTGTAGTTATTGTTGTTGGTTGGTTGGGTGTTTTCATCACCTCCATCTTCTCTACGTTCACTTGAAGTCACGTCATCTTTCTGTGCCTCACCTCTTCTGTCAACTTGTTAGTTTTCGCCTGTAGATATCTGAGTTTGTGCAACATGAGACACTAGACACAGATCATCATCATCATCATCATCATCATCATCATCATCATCATCATCATCATCATCATCATCATCATCATCATCATCATCATCATCATCATCATCATCATCATCATCATCATCATCATCATCATCATCATCATCATCATCATCATCATCATCATCATCATCATCATCATCATCATCATCATCATCATCATCATCATCATCATCATCATCATCATCATCATCATCATCATCATCATCATCATCATCATCATCATCATCATCATCATCATCATCATCATCATCATCATCATCATCATCATCATCATCATCATCATCATCATCATCATCATCATCATCATCATCATCATCATCATCATCATCATCATCATCATCATCATCATCATCATCATCATCATCATCATCATCATCATCATCATCATCATCATCATCATCATCATCATCATCATCATCATCATCATCATCATCATCATCATCATCATCATCATCATCATCATCATCATCATCATCATCATCATCATCATCATCATCATCATCATCATCATCATCATCATCATCATCATCATCATCATCATCAGCATCATCATCATCATCATCATCATCATCATCATCGGTGGAGGCGGTGGCGGCGACAGCGAAATGCAAATCTTCGTGTGGAGTCTTTTCATCGTTCCAGCCAGTGAATCCCCATCTTCTCACAGCTACTCACAGTTGTCTGTTGCACGATCCAGTCCAGTCCAGTCCAGTCCAGTCGATTTAACCCCAATCAGGAAGATTGTCGGTGATGGCAGTAGGCAGAAACATTGTCTTACTCCTTCCTGTCTTCACTTCACTTCACTTCACTCCAGAAGCATCACTGAGCAGCTTTCCATTGTGAATCACTCGACATGTAGCCTCATACAGCATAGCATTTGGCTGGTGTTGAATTAGGTTGATAAGGGTTTGTGTCAGTGAAACGGTTGTGTTGAAGGAGCTGCCTGCCCAATTACTTTTCGGTGGACGCTGTCGAAGGCCTGCCTTTGTGAAGTGGATGAAGTTGAGGTAGAGTTGATTTGACTGTCATTCTCTGCTTTGTTGTATGATGTTGGGTAGTGTAGTGCAGTGTTGCAATTTGATGTGTACATGATTTGATTGTGTTGAAGTCAGCGATCCATGCAGCCTGTTCCTGTTGTAATTTTGACTCCAGTGCATCTTCTAGTCTCTCCACGATTACGTGGCCTAATATTTTGCTAGCTTGGGTTGGACAGAGACAGCAGCATGATTTCTCGCCAGCTCTTGCAAAAGGTTTGGTCTCCTTTTTCTAGAGTTTGACAAGGTAACCCTTCATCCAATCTGCAGGTACTTTCCCTTCCTTTCTTCCAAACCTTCTGCACTAGTGGTTTTAGCGTGTCCACTGATGTCTCTGCATCTGTTTTCGGTGCTTCTGACGGAAATCCAACTGGTCCTACTGCTTTTTTGCATATCAGTAGCTTTATGATGTTCAGGACTTCACTTCTCCTTTTTTCGGAGGGTTTGTACTAACTGGTAATTCTGTGGCTGGGCTGCTGGTGGTCTTTCTGGACACGTTGCAGTTGTTGGTGGTGGTCGGTTCAAGAGTTTTTTGAAGTGGTCAGCCCACTGTTTCCTTTGTTTCTCCTCTCTGGTAACATGGTTCCCTTCACTATCTTTCATTTGTTTCATCTGTGCTTATCTCTTCCCAGACAGTAACCAGTTTATTCTATATAGTGTTGTCAGGTCTCTGTCTCTCTTACCAGCAGCCTGTTCTGCTTCAGTTGCCGCAGAAGTATCTTTTATCTTCTTGCACACTCTTCTTCACTTCTTTGTCCAGTGTAGTATTTTTATAGGTTGTACTCACTTCCTCTTTTCGTTGTTCATCTTTGTAGTGCACTGGTTCATCTTCTGCTTCACCATCTTCCTCTCCATCCTCTATCAGCTTCCACGTATCCGTCAAGATCCATTCCACTCCTTGTCTTGTTTCTTCTTCCTTCCTAGCACGGTTATGAAGGTTTATTTTCACATCTCTTTCAAAGAGTTCCAGTGTTCTCACACACACGTCCCTTCAGGGATGTCGCTCAATGTCTCCCCTCTTTCACTGATGGCTGACATGAAGATGTCCTTTGTAGTTTCATCCTTCAGTTTATGTTCTGCGTGTTGAACTTGAACTGTTGTCGTCTATTAACAACTTCTGTAATGGCTTCCAAGTCGATTTTGAAGGCACATTTTTGGCAGTAGATACTGAGTGGTGTGAACTTACATCTGCTCCCCCTCTTGATCTCATCTTGTGTCCAGTAAGCTGCTTCGCCACTTCATTTAGATTGAGATGAAGTTGATCTGATCTTAAGTGTATCCATTCGGTGAAATCAAATCCATGTCGCTCTGTGAATATCCTTGTGTTCGCACACACCACCTCCAATCATCAAGTCATTAAATGAATAGAAGTCTGCAAACAGTTCTGCATTCTCGTTCATGATTTCACCGAGTCCCTCTCGACACATGATTGCTTCTCATCCTGTGTTGTCTACTCCCAGTCTCGTATTCATGTCACCTCACCCATTAGAATTTTGATGTTGCCATCGCCAACTGGAGTCTTGTCCAGTGCTGATTGCAGTTGTCTGTAGAATTCCTCCTTCTTCTCTTCATCTGCTTTATTGTTTGTAGGTGCACAGTGTAGCATTGTATGATTGTGAGTTTCCTTCCTTTTCAATTGAATCTGGCTGTCATGATCCCGATCCTGGTCGTGGAGGAGATTGGTTCCCACTGCATGAGAGACTTCGATGCTCTTGAAGGGGACATCATGAGAGCCACTCGAAAAATCAGTGTGCTGTGCTCGTGGCTGTCATCTGGTTGACAATATCGGAATAGATTATTGACTGTTCAGTTTTCAGTTAGGAGAGTCCACTTCCATTCCACCTGCTTTCGCAGATTCCTAGCACTTCTATGCCATACCTTCTAATCTCTTTGGCAATATGGACTGCGTTGCTAGATTCATACATTTTGTGGACATTCCATGTTTCCAATCTTACTTTCGATTTCATTGAGAGAGAGCAGACACATCGGCCAATTGGTTTCCCGACGACTTTTATCAACTGGCGTCATATCATCTCCCCGATTCCAGAGAGGAATAAGTTTAATTTTATGTTTTATATTTCGTTTGCGCTTTGAAGTTTGTTTAGTGATTGGATTGGTTTTCCGGTGTAGGGTTGCTAGCCGTATGCCCACCTTTCCCTCTTTATCCGGGCTTTGGACCGACTAATAACTAGTGAACTAGTTAACCAGGCAAGGGTTTGGTTGCTAAGTCACTTAAGAATGTGTCCAATTCAAGTGGAAAAAAAATCACCTTTTTAAGCGTAGAACATGATGAAGAGGGACTCTATTATTATCATTATTACTACTAATATTTATTATTCTTCCTGGTTGATTTGTTTTATTTTTCGTGGTACATATTGACAGTCAAATCTATAACAAGAACTAAACTAATATGGTCGTAAAATTGGGGTACTGTGGTAGAATATAATTCCACTTTACAATAGAAAAATAAGGTATCAATAGATGAGATCATGTTAGGAGTACAGCTATGCCTAACTTCTGTAATCCTCAGAATAAAATATGTAAACAAGCAGAAGGAGTTTCCGTAAGATCACCCATATACTCTTTCATGGTAGACACATTTAAGGGCAGTTGAAAGCGGATGGCTGTCGAAATATTTACTCCTGATCCAAAAGTATGGCTTTGATATGTAGACGTCACAATTAAAGTGTTGAAGTAGGAGCACATATAAATTCAATGTTCAAAGCAATGCAGTTCATGTGTAATTGCAGAATAAAACGGAAACAAGATGGAAGTTTAGACACACTAGTGTCTACAGAAAACTTTCACAGTCGAGTCGTTACTCAGAATTCAAATCGTCTCACCCTATGTCGGTTAAAGATGGCTCAGTAAAGGTGTTTAAGTAACAGAACCAGAAAATTTACTCATAAAACAGATCTAAGACAAGAAACCAGATACATTACAGACACCTTACTGATCAACAATTACGCTCCTTAAATAACTGATAAGTTCCTTAGGAATCACAAGTAAAAAATGTGACCAGTATTAGCAACATGGGTGTCAGTAGTAGTAGTAGTGTGGGCAGTAGTAGTAGTAGTAGTGTGGGCAGTAATAATAATAATAATAATAATAATAATAATAATAATAATAATAATAATAATAGCCTATATAAGGAGTTCAACTCAGAAACACTTCGTAGGATTCTTAATAAGACTGGCTGGGATTAGATTTGCATTTAAACCTATGAGCTCATTTGGAAATAAGCTTTGCACGTTAAAAGATCTAATCGGATCGATTTCGGCAGAATAGCTCAGTTTAGCAAATCTCTTGCAACGATTACGAGGCTGTCAAATATAAATGGTTAAAGTAGTCGACCAGGGTTGGTCAGTTAGGCTACTCGAGCAGAAAAACCTAGCTAGATCAAAATTGGTAGTTCCTAGTTAGATATAACTCAGCCATAACTATGAATCCAGTTACATGCAATTACAACCATACAGTAGGATGGAAGAGGAGTATAGTAGTTAAAACTGAGTTATTGGGGTGGAAGGAGAGATTGATAACCGAATCTTTGTTCATTGAATTCACACCAACTACATGAGACAGGAATGACCCAGTGTGTGTTCTGGATAGATAGAAAATCTTACCACCCATATTACAAAGGGGACGAGGAAATTAGAACTATCTATCCAAAACGTAATCCAGTGGATAATAATACTTTTCCTTCACTGTGTGTCGACCACTTCACTTACCTAGGAAGTAGGATCAGCTCTACCCTGGTACATTGCTCATTTGCCGGTGAAGTCTCTGCACGAATAAAAAAGGCTAGACTAGCTTTCGTCAACTTACACCACCTATGGTGTCGCCGTGATATCCGATTGTCTATTAAGGGTCGCGTGTACTACACAGCAGTCCACTGTGTTCTACTGTGTATGGCTGTGAAATATGGCCACTGAAGGTGGAAGACATGCGAAAGCTGGCTTCAGGTGTTTGACCAACATTGTCTTCGTAGTATAAACCGTATTCTGTGGTGTCACCATGTGAGTAACGCAGAAGTCAGGCTCAGGTGTAGAGTTTTAGGGAGAAGAGGTAAGTGAGTTGACGAGATTGATAATCTTCATCGACTGAGATGGCCGGTTAGGACATATGTTTCAGGCTGAAAGGAGGCTCTAGGCGGCCAGACTAAAACATGGTATGAATGTATGAAGTGTTTGACTGTTAGTTTGAGCCATGTGAGACGATGCAGACTAGGTGGTTGGGGTGTGGGGGACAAGGGAAACCACTAGTTAGAGACTGATTCTCGGTGATACGGCCTAGATCCGATGTGAGTGGCGCAGGTGTATACACATATTGTCCTCATCTTAACACCATACCATTTTTTCACTCTTCCTTTCTCTTTTTTCGTACTTTATATTTCTTTTGACTGAATTCTCTTCTCTTCATCTTCCACTTCACTGCCATGTTTACTTAATGTACTGATATGAGGTGTGACAACTCGGATTGTTACACAGTAATGCCTAGTCCTTTGTTGATTTGGATAGACATCTTTTTTTACAGAAATACTATTAATGATTCTGATGATAATGATGATGATATTCATGAAGATGATGAATTTGCAAATGTACTTTTTCGGTTTCATGAAAAAGTACATTTCATATAATAGTAAACAGTAGAACATGTCAAAACTTGTCTTTACTTAGTCGAAAAATGATGTATCGTACAGTTGAACACCAATAATATAACAACAACTACTACTAATGTGGCCAATAACGATAATATTAGTAATAATAATGATAATAGTATTGGTTTCAATGTTCAATCCATCAATAATTTCGTCTTGACAGAACAAAATTGATGAGAATACTGACAGAATACGTCATATTCATCTTGAGATTAAAATAGTGGACATATTGAAAAAGAAAATACGACATAAATACATACACTTTAATTAAATTATTAGTCAAGGTCATTAATTATTTTGTATTGTTTTGTTTTATTATTCTCTTTAGAAAATGTGAGCCAAATTCAAATTTATACATATCACTTTTAACTTGATGCATCAAGTGTATACTTATAAGAAGATAAATTATTATTTTTTTTGTTTATTGGTGTTTATTGTACTTGATTTCAATGATGAAGTGAAGTGTTACCAAGAGAAAAGTACACCATTTTATTTGGCAGGTTTATGTCAAAATCATACTTGACGTAATCACCTGTGTTATAAATGCACTTGACAGTGTATATGGTTATTGCTTGATACCTCTTGAACAACATTATTACAACTATGAATATCTCTGATCGTTCTTGAAACTTGTACATGCTGAAAAGTGTATATACTCATCAATCATATTGAATCAAGTTTGAGTCCACGATCCACATAGATATTTCCTACAGTTGAGTAGTTTTCAAGATTCAATAGCACAATTTGTTTATAGTCAGCTAGCTAGATTAATGTGGTCTGAACTAAATCAGTAATGTGCACTGAATTTGTTTAGCTATACGGCTGTTGAGCTCGGCGCCAAAAGAGCGAAACGGTTGGGGAAATACTACAGATCGTCGTGAGTGGTTTCTAAGTACTCAAGTTGTCAAGTAGTATGTGAAGTTCCAGCCTGCTCAAGTATTCGATTATTAAATCGAATCTTTAGATAGGCAAACCTTCGCATAGAGATGATCGTTATATTAGGAACAAGTGACTACAAAGATATACTAAAATAAATTTTCAACAAAACACTGAAGAAAAGGCGAGATTAATTTCTGAGGTAAACTAATGCATTATGCACGCCTAGGCTGTTAGTTGGCTGGAAGAAATAGATGGGAAGCAATGCCCGACCTAGGTTTCCTGTTTGTTAGAACTCATCAACAAGGCTCACCGACAACCCCAAGCGAACTGATGTACCCTATGAGATTTGAACCAACGTCTCCTAGTGCTATAGTCAGCAAGTTTCCTGCTGAGTTATGGGGTCCCCTCGATGACTACAACACTTAGTAATGGAGGTTCAAATCTCACACAAAGAATATCAGTTCCCTCTACGTTGCCAGTACACCTCTCTGACAAGTCCTGACAAACACAAGACCTGTGTCAAGTTGGACTTCCTACTGACTATTTTCTTTCAGGTAACATTCATAGAAATGCACTTTGATGGTGAGTCTCCATCCTTGATGTACGTAATGTAGATAAATCGATAAATTATTTCACTAGTGAACAACCAGATTTTTTAGGTTTTCAAAAACAATTTATTACTTTAGTTGCACAACACTTCTCATGCTCTTTTCTCAAGAGAAAAGTATCAGATTGATTTTTAAGTGCTCAAAGTAAGTGTCACCGTGAGGAGCGAGAAGAGGGGATACGCTGGACCGATAAGAAGACCCCACAAGAAGATTTGCACTTCACCGCCGATGACTTGTGTCTAATGTCACACAAACTCGAAGATCTACGGGCAAAAACTAACAAGTTGACAAAAGACGCAGGCCAGCGAAGGAAGACGGGACTCACTTCAAGTGAACGTAAAGAAGATAGAGGTGATGATGATACTCAACTAACGCCACCACCACCAACAACAAGCTTAAATCTTCCCCAGCGGGAGAAACTTGAAGGAAGTAGTCTCTTTCACCTACCTACCCGCCTAGGCAGCATCGTTTCAACTACAGAACATTATTTGAAATACAATATGAACGAAACATATAGATTTCCTATTGAATAAATTGTCATCTGATCCCATAGTCCTAACGTTTGATGCCGTCAGCTTAAAATAAGTCTAATTTGAGGCGAATACATTTTCATCAAGGAATGTAGATTACAGACTGTGAGCGGATCGAATCTATTGGCTAAAGATTGAAAGGCAGAAAGAAGAGAGAGACATGAAGAAAAGATGGTTGAAATAGCTTTTGTTCTGTGAAAGGCTAAAGGAGAAGTAATGTCTAAAAGTGTTTCTTTTCAATATAGATTTCAGATGCTGGACAGCTGCACGTGCTAATTAGGTATGAATGACCAGACTGGTTCATTCGTCGATACGAGAAACTTTGTCAGTTCGGCATAGAAAATATGAAGTAAAAGCCAATGAAAGTTTTATGTTAATGGTTCCATGTCTATTGACCGAAATTTAACGCCGACCCTACACCTAAGTGTTCTTAGATATACTTGCTATATCTTGTATCTTCAATCCAGCTATACATACCATGAGTCACACAATACGCACTCACACCTCCACAACTGTTTGCAACAGAATAAAAAGTCTGGTGCTTGTTCCCCGTATACATTAAGCAGTCTCACCATAATGCCCTATAATTTTTGAAGATGAAACAATAAATTTCCAGTACAAAAAATCAAATAATGAACAACAAACTTATCCCTGGATCTTCGTAGCTCAGCTGATAGAGTATCAGGCTGGGCACTTAATGATTATTGGTTCCAATCCGACCGCGGTGGAAATTTTCACTTCACCTTCAATCACCATTCAGTATCAATACTAGTCTGCCAAATCATGACTACCTCAGATAGTCAAAATGATGAACAACAATATATTTCACTCAACTTGCAATGATTACTTTCAAACTATAAGTAATACTTAACTGGTTAAGGGATCCGTCGAAAACTATTGAACTAAACGAGCTATACATTAATGTTACCAGTTATATAATCAATAGAATATCTTCTGAAATATATAAAATAAAACAAGCACTGACACTTTCCCTGAGACTTAGTTATCTTTCAATATAACTGATAAGCCTCCGTGGTTTTCTGTTCATGACTATTTCCGCCTAGAATTGCCAGATGCTTTGTGCATCTCAAAAGTAATTGACTGTTGACGATGCCTAGATACTGCCAGATATTCATGATGTTTTGTTTATTTGATAGCTAGCAGTGAAATCTAGAATGCTCGTTTCGTCCTATTTCAGACTCGTCAGCTGGATGTACCTGACTGCCAATTGTAAGAATCCATTAGAGAGATGGATAACCCACAAAGAAAGGAAGAGAGAGTGGATCTCGTCTATCTTGTTATACAGAACAATTTAGCCTACAAAATCCCATCCAACGATTCACACGTCGAATGCATACATCAAACTAACCAGTCGCGTTTAGTTAGTTCGACAAAACCACAGGAACTTAGCCAAATATAGAGTGGTACACCCCAACATCTTGATATGTGAGGAAAGATGCTCAGTTATGCATCCTGCCACACACAATAACATGACATAGAGTGACAATTTCAACAGAGAACTTGTGTAGGTAGAGAGAGACATAGATAACGAAAAAGATAATTAAAGCTTCGTTCATGAATTGGGCATTTGACACAAGCAGCAGGAATGAGCACAACTACATCTGGATATGTAGGAAATTCTACTATCTAATAAATGAAAGAAAGAAAGTAGTAGACGCATAGAAGAGAAATGAGGAAGTTGTATGATTACCTTGATATGACAATCAGCAACAAACGTATTATTATTATTATTTTTCCTTTGGGTTCCTAGTGAAACATAGGGACTCAGTAGCACCTCCCTATTTCACTCTCTTCTCTACGACTGCCCACAAGCTTCCATTTCTTCCTCACACCATCCACTCCATCTTACCCTGGGTTCGAACGCTTAACTCATCGTTTAGCATTTGGATTCCACTTGATGGCCTGACGCGTGATGTCTCCGAATGGCTTTCTCAGTGCATGCCCAGTCCATCTCCACTTCCTGCTGCATATTTGCTTGGCGATACGTTGTTGGTTGGTTCGTTGCCAGGCCAGAGTGAGTTCCTTGTTGCTTATTCTTATTATTCTGGCCATCTGATCTTCAGAGTCAGTATGGAGTGAGTGCAGGCAGCAGCTGTTGATGTGATGTATGTCTGCAGTTTGTTGGAAGGGCTTTTCGTGACACGCCAAGTTTCTGAATCATATAGCAGCACTGACTTGACACTGGTGTTGAAAATCCGTATCTTGTTCTTTGTGCTGACTGCAGCAGATCTCCACACTGATTATTTCAGAATAATGCAGCAAGGCTTATCTTGCTGTCTTCCCGATCCTGGCTCTGACATCCTCATCTGTGCCTGTGTCGCCTGCAGTTGAAACGATGCTGCCTAGACAGGTAGGTAGGTGAAATAGACTACTTCCTTCAAGTTTCTCCCATTGATGGTGGCTGGTGGTGTTATTGTTGTTGGTTGAGTATCTTCATCACCTCTCTCCTCTCTACGTTAACCTGAAGTGAGTCCCGTCTCTCCTCACTGTCTCGCCTCCTCTGTCAACTTGTTAGCTTTCGCCTGTACATCGTCGAGTTTGCATGATAAGACACTAGACACAAATCATCATCGTCAGTGAAATGCAAATCTTCTTGTGTGGCCTTTTCATTGGTCCAGCCAGAGAATGCCCATCTTCTCTCTCCTCATGGTTTGCTGTATAATCCAGTTGACGACAAGCAGGAAGATGATCGGTGATGACAGTGGTCGGCAACCTTGTCTTACTCCTTCCCGTCCTCACTTCAAATGGATCACTGAGCAGCTTTGCATTGTGAATCACTCGACATGTAGCATCATATAGCATATCATGTGGCAGCTGTTGGGTGAGATTGATAAAGGTTTGTGTCAGTGAAACCGTTGTGTTGAAGCAGCTAGCTGCCGAATTACTTTTCGATGGACGCTGTCGAAGGCCGACCTTTTTGAAGTGGATGGAGGTGAGGTGCAGTTGAGTTGATTGGCATTCTATGCTGTGTTCTATGATGATGCGTAGCGCAATCAGCAACAAATACTACTTGAAAAGTCATGAGTAAATATCTCCGTATCACTATGTGATACATATTGACTTGAACTAAAGTGGAATTATCGGTTCTTTCTACTTCAGATAGCCACAGTTTGGTAGGCTTGTATTATTGATACTGGGTAACGATTGAAAGTCCAATGTAATTAAGTGGAGAGAGACAGACGAGGAGTGATTACTAAATCTTAATTCATTGAATCAACCAACATCCAATACTT